CTTTCGTAGGAAGAACCATCGATTAGCATAAGCGCTATCAGACGGCTCCGCAACATGGGAAACCATCTTTTCTTTCAGGAAAGCGATAACTTCTTCCTTCTCCTTCTGGGCGTATTTTCATCCCGCGTCATTCCAGGGAACATGTGGTATCGTGTAAATCCTTGCTGGCTTAGCGTATCGAGGGTCAACCCTACCGCGCTCCGCGTCACTAAAAGTTATGGCCTTATCACATGTCTTCAAGATTTCTATCACAAGTTCTCGCTCCTGTGGGGTCAAATTCCCATCTCCGATGTCCATCCCTGCTATCCTCTCATCCGTTAGGCGTTGCGGCYCCTTTCTCTTTCTTTCTTTGATTTCTTTCGCGATCTCTTCTTCCGATATCCCTTCCAGTGCAGATCGTTCGCGGCCCACCGCTGCTGGCTTAACTTTTTGAGCTACTCGCTTGTGTCACTTGGGTAGCCCCGCCGTGCCCTTAAAAAAGACACGGATACCACACCGCCAAATTCCTCATCTTTTTCCTTTGGGTACGAGTTGCCGTCCACTATTAGCCGACTCCCTAAATCTTCCACCTCCACGATCCGACCTTCTTCCTCTGTGAGAAGTGGTCCATATTTCTTCTCGCGAAATCGCACCGCGCGGCCGAAGATAGGTAACGACTTAATCTGATCACTGGGTCTCGCACCCACAGCGAGAGCTGCTCTGTTCCTCGGGTCCCGAGGCTCCACTGTCTCAATCATTACCCGCGTCCTGTCTGGCTTCTTAATGGACAATGTTTGGCTCCCATCAGGTCGCTCTATCGTCACCGCATGCACGTGGCTCAGCCACGTTCGACCCAAGAGCAGGTCGGAGCTGCAGTTCTTGACTGCAAAGACAGGCAGGGTCACTCGTACCCCTTGGACCTCTATGGCTGCCTTGTGACAAACCCCAGTGATCTGTTGCTTTCTCCCATCAGCCGTCTCTATCTCGAATAGGTATGACCTATCGAGGCCCAGTCCAACCTGTACTGCCACGTCCTCGTCTATGACGACAGCCTCACTGCCGTTATCGATCACAGCATCGAGTACGGCTCCATCGTTTATAATCGTCTCCACGGCCCCGCTACCAAGTATATAAAACTTGTCTGGAGGCACAYCTTCCATTCCATCGAGAAGGACTGTCGCCATGCGATCCGCTCTGGCAGTCACCCCCGTTATTGCTACTGTAGAAGCTTCCGCCTTAGGGGCCCCCTGTCCCTCCTCCGATAGAGGTATGCGAGTCTTCCGCGTGATCATCTGTAACTCATCATGAGCCGGCTTCGATGCCGGCAGGTACTCCAGCATAAAGCACTGCATGGGTTGCTGAAGGGCCCGCCTCAGTGGCTCGACCGTGTCAATCTCGTCCAGCGAACTCTTCATTAAGAACTTCTTCAGTCCCCTCTTTCGCGGCGAAAGGATAACCTCCTCTCCATCGACCCGCTGCTCGTCCTTCTCCGCCATCACGTAATCCGTGTCAGTCTTCTTCGATGTAGACCCTCTCGCCGACTTGGTGGCTGCCACCCTTATGGGTGTGGTCGCCATATCCCCCTCAAAGGTTATCTTGATGCTCTGGATCCTGACCGGCTCCTTTTCTTTACTAGGCTTTACTCTCCTTGCTTCGACATTCTCCTTCATCGAAGGGAACATCGATGCATCTCCCAGACCATCTGCCCACTTGACGTACTTGCGGTCGTCAAGCACGACAAGTCCCTCATCTATTGCCCGTTTGAGGTCCGGGCGATCCCTCTTGATATGATCTTCTCCTCTACGGTAGACGCATGAGTTCCTGGGAGTAGATGGTCTGTCGTCTGCGCTTCTAGAGATCGAACTCCTGGCTGCCCTGGGGTCAGGCGACTTGGGATATGGTTCTGATGAGACGCCATATCCCCCTCTCATTCCGACCGCGGGAATCGTTGCGGCGGTCTCCTCCAAACCCTCCTTGCTCATACCGCCCTCGCGAATCATTCCGGCGGTCCCCCGAGTCATATCGCCCTCGTGACTCATCCCATCGGTCCCCTCGGTTGAACCACCCCCGCGACTCGTCGCGCTGCTCTCTCGCATCTCCCCGCGCTCAAACCGTCCGCGCGACCCATCTCGTCGTTCCTAGTCCCGATCTCCTCTTTCATACCTACCACCTCTGTAGCCATCTCGACCTGACCTCTCGTATCTGTCGTCCCTATATCTGTCTCGGTCCGATCTCTCGTATCTGTCGTCCCT